ATATATATATATATATAAAAAATTTATTTTATATTTTCTATTTTATTTAATATTTTAGTAAGTTAATTTAAATTTAGCTATATTTTTATTATTTTTTAATTAGGAGAATGAATGAAAATGAACTAAAGATATTTTTAAAATATATTTTAATTAAAAGTCTATTTTTTGATGAATGATTAAATTAAAAGTATATTTTAAAGGTGGTGGCAGCTGTACGCAGCTGTACCTAACAATGAGGCTACAAAACCACCCTCTTGCACAACCGGAGTTGGTGTTGGAGTACAATGGCAAAATTGTTTCAACCGATGAAGCACATGTTTCTAGTGCTATAAATGCTGCAACAGAAGAGCTTGCTGGTCATGGCAAAGGGATTTCCGACAATCCCTTGACTTTGTTGGTGAAGAAAAATGGTGTTCCTGATCTTACTATGGTTGATCTTCCAGGTATTACTCGTGTTCCTGTTCATGGTCAACCTGAGAATATTTATGACCAGATTAAGGACATGATCATGGAGTATATAAAGCCAGAAGAAAGTATTATCTTGAATGTTCTTTCTGCTAGTGTTGATTTTACTACTTGTGAGTCCATTAGGATGTCTCAGAGTGTTGACAAAACTGGGTTGAGGACGTTGGCTGTGGTGACAAAGGCTGATAAGTCTCCTGAAGGCTTGTTAGAGAAGGTTACTGCTGATGATGTCAACATTGGTCTGGGCTATGTATGTGTGAGAAATCGAATTGGTGATGAGTCTTATGAGGATGCACGTATTGAAGAACTCAAGCTGTTTGAGTCTCACCCTATGCTTTCTAAAATTGACAAGTCTATTGTGGGGATTCCAGTTTTGGCTCAAAAACTGGTTCAGGTTCAGGCTTTGAGCATATCCAAAACCTTGCCAGAGATAGTGAGGAAAATCAATGAGAAGCTTTCTAATAATTTGTCTGAGTTAGAAAAACTGCCAACAAACTTGACTTCTGTAGCTGATGCTATGACTGCTTTCATGCATATTATTGGATTGACCAAGGAATCACTTAGAAAGATTCTTCTTAGAGGAGAATTTGACGAGTACCCAGAAGACAAAAAGATGCATTGCACTGCTCGGTTGGTTGAGATGTTGGATTCGTATTCAAATGATCTTTACAGTTGTGCTCAAAGTGATGCCACCAAAAATTTTCTTATGGATGAGATAAAAGTGTTGGAGGAATCTAAGTGGATCGGTCTACCAAATTTCATGCCTCGTACTGCTTTTTTGTCTATATTGAATTTTAAGGTTAGAGGCATTGCTGATATGCCAATAGGTTTTGTTGAGAATGTGTGGAACTATCTTGAAGATGTGCTGATTTCTGTCATAAATCGTCATTCTGAAAACTATTATCAGCTTTTGTTGTCTACTAGGCGTGCTGCCCAGGTTCTCATTGCAAAGAAAAAGCAAAATTCAATCAAGCATGTCATTGAAGCCATTGAAATGGAGAAGTACACTGATTATACTTGTAATCCAGAGTTCTCTCTGGAATACAATAGGCTTATATCTCTGCAAGAAGTCTTTGTGAATGAAGTTTTAAAAAATGAGAACAATCCATCCCATGTAAATCTTGAAGGTGTGGGTAAGATTGAAGTTGGTCATTTGAGGAACTACCCTTCTATGCTGCTTCAAGCATTTGACTTGAAGGTGAGAATGATATCTTATTGGAAGATTGTGCAGAAAAGGCTTATTGACACTATAGCCCTGCATTTGATGTTAAGTGTTAATAATCTTGTAAACCGTGATTTGGAGAAGGAAATTGCTCATGATCTGTTATCTCCAAGTGGTGGTGGTATTGAAAGGCTGTTAGAGGAGTCTCCTTCGATTTCTGGGAAGCGTGAGAAGCTTCAAAGGAGTGTCAAGGTGCTCAGGGAGAGTAAGGAAACTGTTGCCAATATCATTGACCGTATTGGGAGTTATGGAGATTATTAAGAGTTCATCAATTTTACCTATATTATCCCGATCTGAATAACCAAGCTATTTGTTGTTTTGAACTATTAGTAGTTGAGGATGTTGTTTTTCGTTTTGCTGCTACTTTGTTCTAACGTTTTTTTGTTTCATTTTTAATCAACTTATGCTATTTCAAATCTTATGTGTTAATGAAAATATGCCAGTTATTTTCAATTTTTCTGTCTCTTCACATCATTATTTTATTTCACCCTCTAATTTTATCTTAATTCTTCTTTTCTCTCTCTCTTTTTGTGAAAATGCAACTAACATGATGTAAGTTAGAAGTTCTTCAATTAACGTAGTACGCTGAATTAATAATTTTATAAGAACCCATTCAATTACTCGTGACCACTTGATTAAGTGAAAATCAAATTTACACATTTGGTTAATTGTGATTCAAGCATAACGGGTGTATACTAAATGGAGAATCCCAGCGTTATGTTAATCAATACTCCGAAGAAAGTAAAAAACTGGCAGCTGAAAAGATTAATAAGAATAAGACATGTAAAATTAAGCGTTTTTTTGGGAATATGTCTAAATAATTTTTAAAAAAAATTTAATAGGAATTTTTTATTTATATTTTAAATATTTAGATTTAATTGTTTCAATTATTTTAAAATTTGTTTTGTATCACATTTTTTTTATAAATAAAAAATTCATAATTAAAATTAGATTACGTTTCTCTAAAAAAAAAAATATATATATATATATATATCTTTACAAAATATAAATATGGAATAACTCATTTTTATTCACACCACATTTACATTAACCCCGAAGTTCAAGGGGGTGATATGTACATTGTTTCACCAAAAGCTTTTATATAGTGAGTGAGTCACTCAGTCTCTCGTAAATGAGAAATTATTACATGATTTTGGACCGTAGTCTTGACCAACTTCTATGTGATAAATTATTAATTCTTTTTTGTAAATTGAAAAATATGATTATACATCATGTCGAGATTGACCAAGACCATCTGATCCTGAACCATATAATAATTTATCAAAAGAAATAAACAAAAAAAAAAAAAAAAACACTTCAAGAGCAGTTAGAAATTTACAGGGGTCTAGATGCGAATATATTGTCAAAGGCAGAAAATTGCTATTTCCTAAAATAGTGATCATTACGGTTGGTTTTCCTAAAAGATTAAACCTCAGCTATGCTCCAAGTATATCTCACGTTGTTGTAATATGGCCAGCAACAATGAAATGACGAACCAACACCAAGTCATTGCCAAATGTTTAGGGAGAGCCAAGTGTAATGACTCCATTTGAATTGTCTGTTCGGCTTGTACTCAAACTGTGATTTTCCCTTTGTTGATGTATGTCTCTCATGGCTTTAAACCTTATATCTTCTCTAAAATCACTGGGTTGTGGGACAGCATCTGGAATGCTCAATCTTCCTACAAGCATGTTTACAACCTCAGACATTGTAGGCCTAACTGAAGGCGATACATCAGTGCACAAGAGAGCTACTTTCATCAAATTTATTGCTTCACTTGGGTTTGCCTCTGATCTCAACCTTTCATCAACCAGCTCTATCAAGTTTTCTGTACGCTGAAGATGACATGCCTGCAATGAGAATTTTGTAAACTTTCTTTTACATGGTAAAAACACATTTATATTGGATAACTACCAAACAAAAGGGATTCATAATGCCAAAAGTGGATAAGGGATTTAGGACTTGGATAAACTTCTCCAAAAGAAATCGTAAAAGAAAAAATATAAGAGGGAAGATCATAATAAGTTTTACTATAAGTTTAAGCATAAATTAAAAATATGATTTGGAAAAGTGAATAGGAGAAAACTTTTATGAATTAGTTTATTCATACACTAATTTTAGCTTATGGATAAACTTATTTTATTTTTCTGTCCTATTTTAGAAGTGCTTTTGAAGAAGCTTACCCAAACAAACTTTTAAGCATAGTAGAATACCTTGTCTAAAAGGCAAACATAGTTATCATTTGGCATCTGATTGTTGTTGTTCTTCCCACTAACAACTTCCAAGACCACAACTCCATAACTATAAACGTCAGCCTTGTGAGACAGGTAACCCCATAATGCATATTCTGGGGCCATATACCCTCTGCAAAACAAATTTAACAGATTCAAATTCATGGTCAACAAAACTTTTAGAGTTGTATTATCAAGTGAGAGAGATGGCTGACATTGTCCCAGCTACTCGGGTGATGACATGGGTCTTCTCCTCTTCATCAAGCCTAGCCAACCCAAAGTCAGATATTTTAGGGTTTAAATTCCCATCCAGTAAGACATTAGTAGCTTTGATGTCTCGATGAACAATCTTGAGTCTGGATTCTTCATGAAGAAATGCAAGACCTTTTGCTATGCCAATACAGATCCTAAGCCTTGTGGCCCAATCAAGTTTAAGTTGAGTTTTTGAGCCTATAGAAGATGCAAAAAGAAGTTAAAATTGAACTAATATGAATCATGATCGCAAATTTCTGTGTCCTTGCTGCTAAAAAAGTGATAGAAATGGGAAAAAAGAAAACTATTAAGAGTGTAAAAATCCAAGCAGAGGGAAATAATAACTGAATTAAAACGGGGGAAGAAAAAATGCTTATTATTAATAGCATTCACTCATTAAGTTTATACCCAGAGAAATGAAAAAGGAAATAATTCTGTTAAGTCAAACTTCCTAAGGTTAATGATTAATCAGATAATCTTTTACTGATATCTCATAATGACCACTTGCAATCTTATCTTACGGAACATATAAAGAATGACAACGCAAAAGACAAATATAATAGTTTACAGTTTACACTCTTGGGTACTGATAGAAACTCACTGAATAAAGCACGAGCCAGACTATTATTTTCCATGTACTCATACACCAATATCAATTGATCCCCTTCCATGCAACATCCATGAAGTTTCACAAGATTAGGGTGTTGCATACAAGATATCATGCCTATCTCATTCAAAAATTCTCGGTTTCCCTGCTGGGACCTTGATGAGAGTTGTTTGACAGCTATCAATGTACCATCAGATAATTGACCCTGCAATCCAGCAGTTATTTACAATCTTGCATGCTAATGATGAACAGAAATTTTTAAGCTCGGAAGCAAGTTGGGTGTTCGCTCTAATACCTTGTAGACAGGACCAAAACCACCTTCTCCAATCATGTTAGCGGGATTGAAATCATCCGTGGCATCTCTAATTTGTTTTAACGTAAATGTTCCCTTCTGAGAATCTTGTCTTTCAGTATCTGTCCAATAAACCAAGGCAAGTACAAATGCTTGTTATGTACATAGATATACTTGTCAACATAATGCCACTACGTGGATGCAAATAATTTATAAGCATAAAAACCACCCACAGAAGACAAAAACAGTTATCTCTAATCCTTAAAGGCAATTGGATCCGGGAATGAGGCCTATTAAAAGATTATAAAAAGAAACCCTAATGCACAACATTGAGAAAAAGCTTTTCTTGTGTTATAGGGAAGGTCGGAATACAGGGGTGAATCATACTATATACCATTTACTTTTTACCATAATGATGATGACATTGATTATTACAATAATCAAGGGTACTTCAAATTAATCAATATGACTTCATGATGTTGTTGGGAATCTCACATCAAGATAGTGCAAACCTTGGCTAGGTAAAGAAAAAGAGAGCTAAATGCAGTGAAATTTGAAGCTGGCTGTGCAGTGTGCAAAGTGTCTCGATCATAGGATCGACGTTGTTAAAGTTTAAGCCTCAAATATACCAACAAAAAACTATTTGCTTCCAATTTTAGTCAAAAGGCCATAAATGTTGACCAAAAGGTCTCATATGTTAGAAAAAAAACTTAATATATATCTCTCATTTAAAGGAAAAAATAATTCTCAAAATTTGCTTTTGGTCCCACTTATTGTCAGGCCCTGCTCAGTGATTGCTCTCATGTGTTCTTCCTCCCTCGACTCTTTCCAAAGAATCACATATAAAGGGTGGAGTTTCCCTTGGAGGCACTTAATTACTTCCTTAAACATTAAGAAGTGGGAAAGTTCTCTTTTACACAAGGGAAGTGGTGCTGTCAAATACAATCTAAAAAATCAGGCAAGTTCTTTGCATTTGGCCATAGTGAATCCCTAATGAGGTCTATCATGATGGGCACTATATTCGATCTTAACCACATCTTGCAGCACCTAGCTAACTTCGCAGCTCCTAGATGCCAAGTCAAGTGTTTGACTTATCAGGAAGTTTGAACTTGGAAATCATTAATAAGAAACAATTAAGCAAATCAAGAGAACTAATTTCAGAAAGATATGAACATAATGGTATTTACCTTTTATTTTCCTAATCATTCCCTCGAAGTATCCCTTCCACCAAAAGATTCCAACTATGATAGAGACTAGGCATAAGGCTGTAACACTAAATCCAACTCCAACGATTATCTTTCGCCTTACATTGTTTTTGTCTGAACAAGGTTTAGAATCTGGAAAAGAAAAAAAAGCATGAGATCTAAATTAGAAGTATAGAACCACAACTTCAAAACTAAGAACCTCTGTTCTGATGCAGAAGAAAGGTAAAGAAACGCAGCTTAGCCATGTCATAATTAATGATTGACTTGCTCAATGGATAGAGAAGCATGTTTACTTTCCAAGGTCTATACAATATTATACAATGTAACAAATTCAAGCATGTAAGAAAAATTCTAAAGTTCCAACAATTTAAGATAGAACAACTTCATTTCTTGCCCTCTAAACGCTATTCATGAAAAAATATCCAATAATGCTATCTTATAATCAAAGGTATAACAGAAAAGTCAACCCACATTAAAATTACAACACACAAACTGAATCATTATACAACTCACCAGAAACAATAGAGAAAGCTGATATGAGGGGACCATAAACTCCACTAACAGGAATCCTTGTAGTTCCTTTGCCAGCCCAGTATAATCGAATCTCCAGAATATTGTCTGTTATAGTGACATTATAGATGGACAATATATATGGTTTTTGAGCAGCATGTGTTTCACCTTCAATATTAAAATCCTTCCTAACTAATCTTTCCTGCAACAGGGCAATCTTATTAAATTCTGATGTGGCCAGCAAAACATAATTTCAATATTTTGATCAATACCTGAACATAAATATCAAATAAGCGCTTCCCAAGGCTTCTATATGTGTTATCGTTTGTAAATTGTATTTCTGCAAAGTGGAGTTTTACAGTATATTTCCCATTTTCCAAGCAATAGTGAAAATAAGTAAGCGAAATTGGAGTAACACGGCCTGTTTTATATAATTCAGGCAAATTTGACGATGGCAAAGACCTAATGTAACGTGAATTTAGGTAATCACCATCATCCATGAAGTCCCCAGTGCTGCTAAATCCCCAGTGATTTTCATAATCAATAAAATATTTAGCGGCACCACTGCCTAACACATTTCCATCTCCTACATAATGAATATTTTCATCATTTTCCATCACCTTTAAATCCTTTCCACCACAATTAACATGAAGACAATGTGAATCTGCAATAATAGAAAAATGATGTGAGAAAAATATATCACAGACCAGTTGTGCATCAACCATGATGAACTTCTAGGATGATCATGGTGTACTATTTTTTTTTTGGCTGTTCCAATCTCAAATAACTTGAAAGTTGTGATATAATAATAACAATCAATATTCAGTACACTCTATACCGATAAAATATACCTATACACACTTTCAATTAAAGTCAAGCTCTTCTAGCATGAATTTAAGTTGTCAGAGTATATTCAGTGATACATTTATCCAATTCTATATTTCCTATTTTTCACATTCAGCAGTGTAACTTCTTCACCAAAATAACAAATCCAGGAACAAAAGAATTATAAAATTTATAACTCAAGCTATCATACTTTATGTACTTGACAAATCCAGATTTGGTACAGACAAAAAAAGATATAAAAATAAATAAATAAGATTGAGCAATTAACTTAAAACAGGAAAAATCGAAATGAAAACAACTTAAAGAAGAAGAAAAAAAAGTATGCATATTCATAGATACATGCATACCAAGCACGAGCATCTACCATTTTATCCATCTATGTACGTTCATTTATTTGTGATGTGAATACATGCATATATACAGTAGCAGACGTGCAATGGTGCCTATAACTTCCAAAGCTAAAATGAATCAAACTTTAAATTGATCAGTCATTTTTGAAGAAAATAGGATCTTATAACACATGTGAATATGCAAAAGGAGTTGTCATGTAAGTTCTCTGAGACTTGATAAAGGAGAAAAAGGGCCCAATAGAATAATACCACTTACATGCAGGACAACTGGAGATATTTGAACATGGAAGAATCCCCCCTCTGTCAAGAATTGACAACCACAGTGATACAAAAATAGTTCACTCAAATTATTAAAACAACAGAAAAAGATAGGTTCTTACAATTTGGTCCCTAAGAAGCTCCGGAACAAGTTTAAGTTTAAATTTCTGCCCAAGTTAAACAACGTCAAACAATCATCAGTTTTACAATAGCATCAAACTTGAAGATACATAGGAATAACAGTAATGCTATTTTTAAGCCATTTTCATCACTTCATTTTTACACCACTTTCCTTTTAGATAATAAAACAACAAAAACTCACATTCCAACACACTACTGTGCACACACACAAACACATACATTATCTTTATTTCCTAAAAGAAGAAAAAAGTATGAAGAAAGTGAAAGGATTTAAATGTACAAGTAACAAAGTCACAGGAATAATTATTGCAAAAGACTTTGCATTCTTACAGGTTATCTCTACAAGCAGATTCATCTGGTCCTTGCCATGTAAAATTGTTGTAAGAAAGGTCGCTGCATACAATTATCAGAAAAAATATATTATCAACAATCAGATGGTTTTAATTATACCACCATATACACGGTCATGTTCTTCAGTTAGTGCAGAGTCTATCCAAAAGTATTTTACAAGAATTAAACCAGAAGACTTATACAAAGTTCATCGGCTAGAAAACTGTGGATACTGAAGGGTTGTTTTGCAAGTATTATATCTTGTTCACCGAGGATTTTCACACATCTTCACATTGGTATGATATTATACACTTTGAGTTTAATCTCTCATGGATTTGTTTTTAATCATCACCTAAGAAGTCTCGTACGAATGAAAACTTTGACTGCACTTATAAATCAAGTTTATCCTCTTGTTCTAACAATATAAGACTTTGTTTGTATCCTAACAAATACGTAGTGTTGGGCAGAGGAATAAAGAAATGTATAAACAAGAACAATTTGTAACAAAATCAAAATCATTTTATCACTATAGAGCAAAACAAATTAGGAATTCCAACAGACAGCAGCAAAATGATAGAGTCAGTGGGCTTAAAATTTAAATTTCATCCTACTTGTTGTGAGAATAACAGCTCAGAATACACTTGCATTGGAACAATAAAAGATACATCGCAATATTGAAGTTAAATTGACCTAGTGAGAAACATACACACTGCTTCCATCCAGCAAGACTGAGTCGGGTATATTGCCACTTAGCATGTTGCCAGTTAGGAAGCTGGAAAAAAAACAATGGAAAAGGGTTTACTATTAACTCCGAGGCAATAAAAGGGAACTTTTAGTGTGTTTGCTTACATGGTTCTTTCTAAAAACAAACTCAACTTGAGGATAATTATTAAAATAATACCTCCTTCACCCCACACTTGCCTTTAATCGTGACAACACATTTAATTTTATGAGAGAAGTTTCATCTCTTTTATGATAGTTGAGAGAAAGAAGGTAAATTACTTAATCTACTTTCAGTTTAATGCAGCATATTTCAAATTTAGAGAACAGAAGCCAACATAAAACCACCGATATACCAAACATGATTTTTTAAAATTTAGAGAAGCTCACTTACAGAAATCTCAGATGCCCTGCATGTGGAGTGTCTGGTATTTTACCAACCAGCTTATTGAAACTAAAGTCCCTACAAATGTTGAAGAAATAGTTTAAATATTTCCAGAGTTAAAGATGGATTGTTTTGTATTTGTTTTTATAGATATATTTTTCAAAAAGAGCTTGATCCATTTAGCATACCAAGAATTGGTGAAAACTGAAAAGAAAAGCAGGGGATTATACTTTTAAGTTCTATCACTTACATGTGTAGAGAAACAGTTAAAATTGGTAATTTTGGGAGATATCGAAGATGAAGTAATTTCTATTAAAGATGATATAGATAATGATGAAGAACTAATTTCCTGCTTTCAACCTTGAAAACAAGGCTGAATTTTCAGCTGGAAGTGACGATAGGAACTGAGTGTTAGGGGTAGTTATGACAATTATTGCTAGAAAATAGTAGCAATTTAATATTTAAATATCTGTAATAACGTATTTATATCATTAGAAACTGTTTTAACACTTAAATTAGGAGGATTTATATGTTATTAATGTATGAAAGGTTATGTTTGTAATTGTTTTGAGAGGGATATATTTTTTTTAGGTTCGTTCCTGGAGTATCCACCGCCGACAGCAGTGACTAATCTCCTCGCTACGTTGGAGGCACCTCAAAGGGTGGGATAGCTGGCCCCAAGATTTAACGCGGCTGCATACACAAGGCAGGATATCTAGAGGAATATATTTAGAGGAGGAATGTTATATCTTATTTTTATCTATTATTTACACACAGCTCTCCATATTTTGTTCTACGTGTGTGTTTTATAAACTTTTATTTATTATTTAATCTTAACGATGTAAAGATTTTTGTATACCAACAATCTTCCCTTTAAATAAAAGACCTAATCTCCCATTCAAGGTGTTTGTCTTTATATTGCATTTTTGTTATTGTTGTTTTGTTTGTGTGGGTTATCTATAACACTCCATTTTTCATGAAAGATAATATAAGAATTTTATTAATAATTTTGATATTTTATTTTATTAACAAGAGTTGTTATATATTTGTTTTAATTATGTAATATATTTAAAATATAATATATGATATTTTATTAAAGGATAATATAATATTTTATTAAATAAGAGAAGAAAATTTCGGGATAATCATGGTGGTTATTATGTTTTAACTAGAGGGTAAGAGGGAGATTAAGATTTTTAAAAGAGGCGTTTTCTTATAAAATCCTTTGTTTTACTTCTTATTTTTCTTGTGCAAGATTAATGTTATGAATTGTCTAAATGTATTATTAATTTTACGTACATTTTGGGATGGTAATTATATGATTTGGGGCCCTGTAGGTTCCCATGAGAAACACTAAGGAAACTTGTTATGATGATGGTGAAGAGATAATAGTTGTATGTGTAAATTGAGGGATATTGAATATTAATTGCATGATATAGAACTCTTTTACCATTAAATTGTATGTTTTGGTGATTTAGGGTGTGACTCAAAATTTTATGTTTTGTGTTGCATGTGTTTTTTTATATGTCATCAAACGCTACTTGAGGTGCATCGGGTGTCGTCAAGGTCGAGAGAAAAATTTGTTTTCGGGGTCTCTCGCATTAGGTGTGGATGACCCTCATCAGGAACAAAAACTCCAAGGGTTTCTTGTGACGCTTCCGCTGGGCGTGAGTTGACTCTTGTAATGTAATGATGTGGATGTGAATTGAACTCCATTGATAAATATATGAAGGCATCTAATGAGTAATGAGATATGATGAATGTGTAAAATGTGAGATTATGAAATCATGTGAATGTGATGCATAAAGTTTGTTTGTCATGTATCATAAGCACAAAATGTTTTTGAAGGGGTATGATATGGAATACAATGCTAGAAAAGGTCCCATATGTAAAAGTTTGGGAAACAACCTTGGAGATAACTTAGTTTGGAAGTCCCAATCTTTCCCTCGTGAGCATGGAAAGTATCTTGTATAACTTAGTTATCTTAATGAGACCATGATAGTATGTTCTTTTAGTGAGAATGTAGAAGTCCCTTGTGTAAAAGTTTGGGAAACAACCTCGGAGATAACTCGGTTTCGAAGTCTCAATCTTGCCCTCGTAAGCATGGGATGTATCTTGCACGACTTAGTTATCTTGACGAGATCCTAATAATATGTCCTTCTAGTGAGAGTGTGTGGAAGATGTGACTCAACATTGTTAGAAAAGAATGGCCCAATCCAAGAGGGGGGGTGAATTGGATTCAATGACCCTTTAAAAATTTATCAGAGTTTTTGGATCTTAAATTCAATCAAAACTTTTCTATGACAGAATTTTCAAATGAAGCACTCTTAAAGACTTGTTACAATGATATGAATGCAATGTGCAACTTGATTACAAGACAATGAGGTTCAAATATAATATCCAATTATAGATTTAAACCATCAAAATTCACATACACATGTTAATCAAGTTTTATCTTCTTTAAAGCACAACCAAGAAATTACAAAATAAGAGATAAGGTTGAAGAAGATTGCACAAGTCTTTTATACTGGTTCAGCCACTCCACATGTGACCTACATCCAGTCCTTAATCACCACCTGATTAAGATTTGATCCACTATCTTTTAGCAAGAAGGTTTACAAGCACACACATATGCATATACTTCACTACAAAAAGATAACCACTTTCTTGACCCCAAGAAAGTAACCCTTGTAGAACCCACTACAAGAAACTTCACCACTTGAGAAACCCTTCTCAAGATTTTTCACAAAGATTCACAAAGAATAAAATGAAACGAATTCACCTGGAATTCTTGAACAAATCTTTGTCTTCCTCTTTCAAGAGTATGATGATGATGATGATTTCCTCACAAGCTTTTCACAAACGTTTTTCTCTTGGATTTCACAAAGAAAACTCTCCAAGATGTCACACAGACTCTCTAAAACGTTTTTACCAGTTGATTATCAGTT